ATCCATTCACTTGATGGGGGACACGTCTGAGTTCCAAATCCCTGGTTGATCCATTCTGACACTGGCAACCATGCGTGCTGAACAGAATCTATTTCCAGATTTACTTATTTTTTGCATGTACTATAGTTTTACAATTTTAGTTTGCTCATGGAAATATATTGGGTGGCTAACTCCTAATGATTCATGGTCACATTGTCCCCCTACCCGGTGCCGGTTGCTGAGTTCTGTAGGTGCTTGGGAGGAACCTTCCCTAATTACAAGTTTCAGAATGCATTGTTTGTGTGGCCGCATCAGCTCAATCAAGGTTTTCTCAACTCTCTGAAGCCATTCTGAGCAGTAATCAGCCTGTGGAGAAGGACGACCCACACATCCCCTGGCATTTGCAAACAGCACGTTTGCATTGGCCATAAACTAGACATAATTTTATCCACATCATCTTGATAAAGTGGATAAGGGCTGGTTTTGCTTCCTCTTCCTGCCTCGTGAGTCATTTATAGATTTTTTCTGCCAGGCTAACCTCCACTGGTCCCCAGGTCGAGGGTGTAAAACTGCATCTTTCCTACTGATAATCTGTTTAGGCTACACCTTGACATAGTGAGGGCAAGACCTCATTTTGCCACCGGATGGCAATGTCTGAAAATGCCGACTCTTTAGCTTTCTTCGAGAGCAAATAAATGTTCATTTGGTTGCAGGGTGTGGGAGTCACATATATTTCAGAGAAAGGGTTTGCCCAGACTCACAGTCTAGTTGACAATGATATCAAGAAACATGGTCCTCCCCCTGGGCTCCTCAGAGGTGTGAATGCTAAGAGTCATAGAGTGCTAAAAATAATACTTCTTGTTTTTAATTTTTTTGCTCTGTTGAGATACATAGAAAGATTTTTTTCAAACTTTACAAAAGTAAACAGTTTGTGTGTCACATTTCTCAAATGCAGGCAGCTAATATCCAACCTGGGCCTCCTTGTGTTTTAGAGTTTGGCATATTCACAGTCAAAACGGTGGATTGTATAATTATGTATTTATAGCGTCTAGGGCCAGGCAAACTTTTTCTCCTCCTCCTCCTTCAAATGTAAAAATCATTCTTAGCTTGAGGTCTGTTCAAAAGTAAGCCACGGTTTTGAAATTTACTACCGTATTTTATTTCAATTTAATTAATTTTTTTTTTTTGCAAGATAGAAATGTATTTCTTCCATGTAAAACAGTCCATAAGCGGGTTGTCCGGGACTGAAATGTCTTCTGCTCTACAGGGCCTCCATTATAGGATTAAAAAAAAAAAAAGCAGCCATGGCCTGAGCGTGGCCTGCTAGCCAGCGTTTGGGGATTCAGGCTGTAATGTATGCTTAAGCAAATGCAGATGGAAAAGAACCCAGTGAACATCCCCTTCATTGCTCTAATTTCCTTTCTGCTTTCTGACACCGGGCGTCACCCTGAGATGTGCTCTTTCTGGGGCTGTGATCAGTTCATCTCGTGTTGGTTCTGCTCTTTTAACACCCAGCTTACACTTCTGTGTGCTGACAGTTCACATTCTGTGGATCACCTACATCTGCAGCTCCCTACAGACTCGCTGCTGCCATATAATTGGACTTCCTTTTATCCCCCAGATACCGGTTGTATCTGCCCTGGGTAAACATTTCCCCAGCTGTGAATAGATAATTAAAATTCTGAACCTTGTATGGCCTTGGATCCTTATCTGTTTCAACAATACTTACCTCGGTGGATGGCTCATGGGAGGCAAAGGTATGTGAGTTGATGATGTCCTCGGTGCAGAGGAACCCCGGGGCCTCCGCAGCGAGGGGGTGGGACCAAGACCCCACCCTCTGCCAAGAATCTCTTCTGGAATTGCAAATCCCCCGACCTGCTCTGGAATTTTTACAATCACAGGCCCTCCTTTGGGGCAGACAATGAAGGGAGGGGTGCGCTGGTTTACAGTTTGTGTGCCTGGGTGTGGGTGTGTGTGTGTGCACACGTATGTCTTTTGAGGAAGAGTGGACACTTCTCATCAGTGTCACTTTAGTTATTGGCTCAGAAGATTCCGCACCTGGAATCCTACTCTCCGGAGGGCAGGGTTTGGGGCCTGGGCTCTGGAATCTGGATTGTGTGAGGAATAAAGGAGAAATTGCAAAAGAGCCTGCCAGGGAGTAAGCATTCGATAAAAGTAATTATTAGGTTATGGTTTCTGCTTCCAGACTTTAAAAAAGGGGTAGATGGAAGTCAAAGGTCAGCTCCACCAGCGCCCCTTGGTCCTCTCCACCTTCAGGAGCATCTCAGGTCCTAGATTCTGTTGGACTGGCCCTTGGAATTGTCTGGGAGTGGAATTATTACTAATTCCAAAAGTGCTGACCCATCACTGGCAGGGTTCAGTGGGCAGTGACCTTGTTTGTGTGACTGCCACTGTTTTTCCTCAGAATTGTGATTTTAAAAAAACCCTCAAAAATCAAATTAAAGTAGTCACTGTTGATAAAAGATGTCTAGAAAGGAACTGTGTTTCATCGTCCTCCCCAGAGAGAGCCGGGCTGTGGAGAGCAGCAGGGCTCCGAGGCCAAGGCCCGGCCAGCGCGTCCGCTCCAGGACACCTTGGTCGACACTGCCCCCTAGTGGCCGCGGCGGCACCGGCCGCCGAGGGCCGAGAAGGCGCGTCCCCTTGGGAACACATTTCTCTAGGAAAAAACTGGGCGGAAGAGTTTTCTCTTTCCAGCCGCCTCCTTCCATGCCCTAGGCGGATGCCTCTCCATTCCCGCTTCCCCTGTGCACGCCCTTCACTTTCATTCAATTGCTAGGGACAGTGTGGCCCAGTCAGGGACGATCACCATGGGACAAGGGGTATTTTGTTTTGGGGGTATTTATGTTCACATGGGGTGTATCTTTAGGAGGAGTTTTAGTCTTTGCACCTTTTGCTCTAGGGCGAAGTTTTACACCAGTCATCAATACTTTTTGAGCAGCTGATGTGTTTGGCCTGTGCAAAGGCCCTGAGGCGGGTAGGGGCTTGGCTCAAGCCTGAAGGCTGGAGGGGTGGGGTGGGGGGAGGGGGTGGGAGATGAGAGCCAATGCGAGAGTTCAGCGTTTGGAGTTTATGAGAAGGGTGCTGAGGAGCTTGGAAGGGTGTTACTTGGTTGGAGTCTAGGGAGTGGCGGTGGAAGGGGGCTTTTGTTTGATAAAAACGACTTTGGCCCTAGTGTGGAAAGTGGACTGCAGGGAGGCTAGAGTGTGAGCTGGGAGCCAGTTAGGAGACCCCTCCCCCACTCCACCCCCTGCCGGCTTGTGCAGGTGAGGGATGGGTGGTGTGGCCCAAGGTGGACCTGCGACTCAGAGGTAGTTCCCGGTGGTGGTGCTTTGGAGGTAGACTTGTTTGGATGGAGTGTGGTTGCTGGAGGGGGAAGGGCCAGGGATGCTTCCTGGGCTTTGCCAGAGCCGCAGGAGGAAAGAGAGAATTTACTGAGATTAGAAACAGACTAGGGAGGAGGAGTCAGACTTCTGTTGGATGAGAGGACTCTGAGATGTTGGGTGGATGGTAGGATATACAGGAGCAGGTCTGGGCTCTTTTGGTGGCAGGTAATAGAAACTCAGAGGAAAGGTTCTTTAGCAGATTCTGAATTTTCTCCTGGGGTCCAAGGGCAGGGCTCAGTGGGGCCTCAAGAAGGGCAGGGGTGCGGGGAGAAGCCCAGCAGCCTCCCACGGTCTTCTCTGAGCATCTGCCTCTTCTTCCTTCTGTCTGCACCCTGTCTGCAGTGCTCTGTCTGCCTCCCGCAGTCTCCTCTCATCCTTCCCATCTCTGCACACACCCTGAGCCAGGGACTCCTGAGCTGGCCTGACCATGCTGCTTTTGCTCACCTTACTCCCTGTGTTTCTTTTATGCTTTTATCACAGTTTTATCTATCTGTTTGTTTCCTTGTTTATTTAGGGGGAGCTTTCCCCACTAGACTGCCAGCTCCCCGGGAGCAGAGGCCACTGTTTGGTTTCCTCTGCTTTACTTGGGCCCCAGGGCAGTTCTGGCCAGAGCAAGCGCTTCATGCATTTTTGTTGTGTTATGAAATCTGCTCTCGGGTTCCCCGCAGCACCCAGCTCCTCTATGAACACATCAAAAGTGCCAGTAAATACCTAGGGATTAATCTCATGCCTGAAGACTTTTGCACCCAAGAAAAAATAGGGTGGCTGATTATCTTTTTGGATGAAGGTTGGCTGGACAGGGACTCAGGGAATGGCAGGGGAGCAGGGGCAAATCAGAGAGGGACGTTGGGGTCAGTTAGAATAAGAACATCATGGCCAGTGGACGGTAGTAACCAGCTGCTGACCTGTCTGGTCCTGACCCACCCACCCCCGGCCCCTTCTGGGCAGAGATGTCCTTAAAGTAAGGCCGACGGGAGCGGACAGTCTGACTGGTAGGCTTCTGCAGTTTCAGCCTGGAAATAGGGTGGCCTAAGAATGACAACAAATAAAGGATTTAGAGAATGCATAAGCTGAGGGTTTTTGCACTAAGAAATAGTTTGATCAATCATTTCATGCAGCAAATATGAAATGACTGAAAAACAACTTCCTTTCCCTGGGGGCGCCCCTCAGGGTCTGTCGCTCCTCAAAGTCATCCCCAGGGACCCTGATCTCTGTTCCTTCCCCCAGCATTTGTTTCCTAAAATTCTTACAGGAATCTGATCCTTCCATAGGTGGAGGCCATGGTCATGTGCTGGGTGTGATTTTTCAGGACCGTTGCAGGGCCCCCCCCCCCCCCGGCCTCTAATGGATCCGCACTGTTCTGTCAAAATGCTTGAAGCATCTACCATTTATCTTTGGGAGATGGAACTCTCTGGAAAGCTTCATGTTTGTTTGCAGGCATGTCTGGCTAGCATAATCACGTTAAATATTTCTTTTTCTACCCAGGAGCAGGATCCCAAAGGTCTGGAAGAAACAGAATACTTCATCACTAAATGGGTGGGGATTGAGGGGGCCAGCCTGAGGTCAGCCTGAGGTCAGCTGCCACCCCGTCTAACCTCCCCCACCTTTCCCCCCTAGATCAAGTTTGAGCAAGGCCCTGGGAATATTTCCAGGCCGGCTCTCTGCCTGTGGAAGGGTGTACGTGCTGGAAGCCGGTCTGGCCACCTGTGGACTGGAAGTGAGATGTGTTTCCGTGGCTACTGCCTTTCTTTTTGTTCTAACCTTCCCCTAGATGTGGTGCATCTTCTCAAAACAGCCGTTGAATAAAAAATGAGGCGGGGACACAAAGATGAGATGCTGGTACTTTATTGATGGGAACCAGGTGGGGCTGGTGGAGGTGGAGTGAAGTAAGTGTCCACGGAGTGGCAGGGGCCTCAGAGGGTGGAGATCTTCAGCTTCTAAATCCTAAGCACACTGTGGGCTTTTTATTATTTTGTCCTAAAACAAACAAACAGAAAACCCAATACAATAGTGAGTGAACGTCACAGCTAGACCAAGAAACTTTAATGTCAGCCAAGAGTTGCAGTAGGTCGGGGAGGAGCTAAGCTTGGATCATTTCTCAGAAGCATCTATAAAAAAGGTAAGATGCAGAAATAAATCTATGAGAAGACTATTATCAAAAAAAAAAAAAGAAGAAGAAAAAAGGTAAGATGGCTGTGTCTGCTCCCCCCAGGGAACATGGACACTGCACCCACTCCCCAAAGTGGGCTGACGCTGAAGCCATGGGACCTGCGGAATCCTCTGCTGGGCAGTGGGTGCAGAGGGTGCTGGGTACCATGAACTTTAATATGCTGTCCTTGGCCTTCTGGGGCAGGGTGTCCACCAGCATCTTCGTCTGGATCCCCGAGTCTTTCTCGTCTTTGGCAAGGTTGAAAGTTTCAAGTGCAGCCTCATAACTGGAAAGTGTGCCCACGAAGAGGTTTTTAATGACCTCTATAAGGCCTGAACAGACCTCTGTAGAAGCTGGAGCACAGAAAAGAGAGCACACATGTATCCAGGCCCTTTTCTAAGCTGGCCAGCTCCCTACTTGGGTTTGGCCCAGATGCACACAGCTGGGCTTGTCAGCAGGAGAAAGTGGCCCTTTCATAGATGGCGTCAAATGTGAGATCAGGTGGCGATCCAAGCAGTTGGCTCCTTGGCACTGTGGGGAAGCCTTCTGGGTTGCGGCCAGCCTGTTGTGGCTTGCCTGAGCCTCCCTGTGCTTCCTGGGTTGGGGTGGGGCAGGTGCTGTGTGCACTGATAATAGAAGCTGCTGATCTGATTTTCTGTGCAGGGTTGGGGCTGGGAAGAGGTCCACTGAGGGTTTTGGCTCCGACCGGAATTCTGCCTCTTACTGATGGTTAGATGGTCTGAGCCACTCATCAGTGGGGCCCGTGGTGAAGTCAGGCTCTGGCATGAAGAGGCACTTGTACCAGCCAAGCACAAGCCTTCACGCCTGGCCCGGAAGAGGCATCCACCGTGAGCGCTGGGCCCTGTGGGCTGGCCCGCAGACACACCTCTGTGTCTCTTCCTGGCCCCACTGTGATCTCTCCCTACAGAGCGCTCCCTGGGTCTTGCTCCCTTTTCTGGTCCCTTTCCCTTCGAATGAGGGGACAGTCATCATCTCCTAATCTCTGCTAGCCCCATCTTCTCCCTGAATTTCAAATCCCCATCCTTGAATTCTCTGCCTTTGTGCAAACTCAGCTTCCCTGCCTGGACTCCATGGCCCCAGCCGAAGTGGCCACCCCAAGTCAGACCCTCTCCAGAACTTAGATCCCTGCTTTGTAACTTACTCGGTCATCAGGCAAGTTACTTTATCTTTCTGGGGCTGAGTGTTCTCATCTGTAAAAGGGGGATAACATCCCTACTTTGTAGGGTTGTTTTCAGAATCAGAATACTTGAAAGGGGTTCAGCACAGCGGTTGACACACTATAAGTGCTAAATAAATGTTAGATCTCATCATTGGTGTTTCTATCTGTGCTCACACAAACATGCAGACACATCCCAGACCCACCTCCTACCATGCGTCCTTCCCGGCTTGCTGAGCCGTCTCTCTCTGTACCTGGCACTGAGATCTTCTAATGATCGTACATTTCAGTCCAAATGACATTATTTCCCCTTTAAAACAGACATCTCTGCACAGTTGTTCCCACCGCCTCTTGGTCTTGGTTTTCTAACTCCCCTGACACCCTCCAAGGTCATAAAACTTTTCTCCATAGTTGTTAGGAAACTTTCACATATGTTTAAAAATTGTTGTTTATTACAAGGAGTAGAAGAGGCTGATACAGAGTTAAAAACAGTTAGGTAACCCAGTTCCCAAAAGATCAGGGGGGCTTCTAGAAGGGTGTGAGCCCCATCCAGCTTCCCCTCTTCCTTCTCTCTCTCATTCCTTTCCTTTTAGTGACAGCTGCAGCTCTTCAGAGGCTCCCAACCCTTTTTGCAGAGGATAAAAATGTTTAGAAATCTCCGCTCTGGGTTGGCAGTTTCCCAAGGGAACAATCCCTTTCTAGAATATTTCTTTCTGTCCAGAATGGGAGACCCTGCCTTGGGTTGGGTTTCTTTTGGAGCCACGAGGCTCTGCAGCTCCTTCCAGCCCCTTCGGCTGCCAGAGTGGCGTGCTGACCCCAAACCCGGAGGCGGCACCCAGATCTCTTGGCATCTCGAGGTCGGTCCAAGACTGGGCTTTGAGGAGCTCGTTACTGCTGTTCTGCTGGTCCTGTAACCCCCGCATCTCTGTGGGCTTTCCTCCATCCCCACCCCTTCCAGTCTGTTCCATTCCCTGGGATTCTGAGGTTGCTGGGTACAGATGACGGGGTCCTTTTCAGTTTCCTCAGGGCTCTCCCTAAGTTCCCAGGATGGGCTTGGTCACCAGACCCAGCTTCCCGCCTGGGTGTCAGTGTCCCCGGGCTCTCCCAGAGGCTGCACAGAGGGCATGGACAGCCGCCCCCTGTCCTGAGCAGCGCTGGGTGCCAGAGAGAGCTCCATGGGGCAGAGGGCCCCGGGGCACTCACCAGGGCTGCAGAAGAGAGTCAGAATGACCAGGGCGAGGGTAACAGTGAGCTTCATGGTAGCGGGAGGTGGTGAGCGAGCTCTGGCCCTGTCTCTGGCCCCGGGGGTCCTGTGGGAGACCCGCTCATCAGGGTGCCTTCTTATGCTCTCCCGGACAGGGGAGGGCAGTGTGTGGGCTCCTTTTCTGGAACCACACTATTTACTTGGGCATCAGCTCAGTGGGAAAAGTAAACATTCTCCTTTCTCAACCCACTGAAACCGAGCTTACACAATGTGCTGCTGGGGAGAGGGGACCCCAGAGTCTTGTGAGGAGGCAGCAAGAGTTCCTGAGTCAGTGTCTGGAGACCTGACTGCCAAGCTACTCTTTGAACTTGAGCACAGGGCAGCCCAGATCGACAGAAGCAATTGTAGAGCCCGCCTGGACCATTGCCCCGGGAGAAACTGAGGCCTGAGGCCCCACACCAGTGGCAGAAACAAGACTAGGACTCGGGCTACCCACTGGGCTCTGCTCCCAGGAAGTGTCTGGACCTAAAGCCTCAAGGGTCTTGTGGTCAGACTTGGGGGAGACCCTGGACTGAAGCACATGGGCAGACAGGGGACTTCTCCAGGTGCCCAGGAGACACCCATGCCCCAGGCTGGCCTGGAGGACCCACTGCTGCTGCTGGATCTGGAGTCTTGCCCTCCTGACAGCAAATCCACTGGCATTTCAGGCCATATCGCACTTGACCTCAATGGCCTCGGCCCTCTTGCCGTTTCTTTCTTGAACTGTTCTCTCTCCTGCGCTCCCACGGGTCAGCGCTTCCCTGTTTCTCTCCCTAGCCATCCTTCTTGTTCTTCAGATGTTGATTCTTCACTGACTGAGCTTACGTGTCGCTGATTCCAGGCTGTGGCCGTGGCCCCTTCTCGCCTGCTGGCACCATGTCAGTGGCCACCTGCTTCCTTCCCCTATGCCTGTGCCTTAGAACCCAGGCCTGGCTGGGTCAAAGTCACCTCCTACACGGCCTCCCGCCTCCTGGCTCATCCTCCTGGCCATCCTCGGAAAGGACACCAGGTGGTGGTTCTAAAACTCGGTGATAGCATCCTCTTCCTTCTAAAAACCCTTTAAAAGCTTCCTTTGTCAGATGGGATAAAATTCAAGTGCGATTTACAAGGCTTTTGTCCTCTGGTCTTTGCTTTCCATTTGAACCTCATTCCTCTCCTCTCCTGCATGGGAATTTAACCCTTTCCTAGTGTTTGCCAATTCAGGAACATTCCTTGTTTTTCTTCATGTCTTTTCACCTTTGCACAAGCTGTGCTTCCTGCCTGGAACACACATCTGTCTTGTCTCCTCCAGATCCTATCTGTACTTCAAGATTCAATCAAACGTTCATTTATTCATTCATTCATTCAATAAGTGCTGAAGACCTACTGTATGCCAGGCACCATGCTAGGAGTTGGGAGTTGGCATAGACACTGAGAGGCACTGTCTGGAGCCCCTTTGAGAACTTGCTGCCCGGCTGCGATGAGTAAGGTGGGCAGAGAGCTGCCACCTGCCAGTCCTCGGGGTTCTGCCCCAGCTGCAGGGAGCTGCCACGCTCAAGCTCACACCCTCCCTGGAGCCCCTGGCACCTGGTGACCCAGCAAGGAGGGCCCTTCTGTGCCGTGTGGGACAACCCCAGCAGGCGGTCCTTACTGCACAGCTCCTTGCCCGCTTGACTGAGGCTTTGCCAGGCCCGCGTGGGCTCCAGGTCGGTTTTTCCCTCTGCCTAGCCCAGCTTCCGTCCCCTTCCGGTCACAGTTCCTGATCCCTAGTAATAATCTCGCACCCCAGAGTCTGTCTCAGCATGTGCTGTCAAGACAGCATCAACCCACGGCGGGGATGCGGCGATGAACCAGGCAGGCCCAGGTCTGTGCCACCATGGAGCGTCACTCTGGTGCACAGACAGACAAGCAGACAATGAAACAAACAAGACATTCGCTGGGGTGCTAAGCACCAGTGGAGAACGAAGCTTGGTGTTCTGTTACAACAGGAGAGTGAGACCTACTTACTCGGGGTTTGGGGTGGTCCTCTCGAGTCACCTGCAAGGGGAGGAAGTCTGGCAGAGGGGACGCCCAGCACAGAGGCCCTCAGGTGGGCAGGAGCAGGCTGTGCCTGGGAATGAGGACCATTGACCAGACGTGCACGACCGGTTGGGCCAGGTTGCCAAGGGCCTCTCGCTAGGGTCTTTATGCTCAGAGTCCTGGGAACCTCTGGAAGGGTTTCTTTTTTCAGTGCTTTAAAAAAAATTGTATGAAAATACACACAACACAAAATCTACCATGGGAATCATTTTAAAGTGTTCTGTTCAGTGGTATTAAACACATTAACGTGGACGGCAACCATCACCACCGTCCATCCCTGTAACTCTTTATCTTGTAAAACAGAACCTTTATACCTACTAAATG